CTAGTCCATTGGAGTGACAACTCCACCCTTAGAAACACCAGAGGCTATGGCTCCACCCTTTGAAACCCCTGAGGTCATGGCCATACCTTTTGAGACCGAGGCAGCTCAGCTTCTTGTGTCCCTTGTCTCTTCAGCTTCTGCTTCTGTTTCTTGTGGGCTCTTGGCCCTCGGGCCTCACGCCGGCATCTGGCCTGCTGGGGCAAGTGTTCCAAAGCTCTGTAGCTCCACCGGTGGGTGCCTCCGGGCACCCCACTCCACCAGGAAGCCTCCTGCGCACAGGCACTCAGCTCCCTTGCTCCGTGGGTGGGCAAGCCTAGCTCCTCCGATAAGTGCCCAGAGGCACCCCACTCTGCCAGGAAGCCTGCTGCTCATAGGCACTGAGTTCTCTCGCTCTGTGGGTCGGCTCCAGCGCCGTCTTGCGCTGGTCTCCTGGTTCTGCTGCTGTTGGTTCTCTGCCACTGCCACTTCTCTGCCACTGCAGGTTCTCTGCTGTTGCTGGTCCTCTGCCACTGCTGCTCCTCCATCCATTCACAGTTTCAAAACTGCTTCCACATTTTAGGTATCTGTTAGAGCAGCACCCCACTCTCGGTACCAAATTCCGTCTTAGTTATCTAGTGCTGCCATAGCAGCAATACCACAAGTGGATGGTTTTAATGAAGAGAAGTTTATTTCCTCACAGTTAAAGTAGGCTAAAAGTCCAAACTGAGGGTGTCAGCTCCAGGGGAAGGCTTTCTCTCTCTCGGCCTTCTCATCAGTGTTCCCCCAGACTAGGAATTTCTCCATGCAGGGACCCCGGCCCGAAGGATGTGCTCTGCTCCTGGCACTGCTTTCTTGATGGTATGAGGTCCCCTATTTCCACTTTTTGACTGTTATTGAATAATGCTTCTGTCAACATTCATGTACAAATTTCTGTTTGGACATACGTTTTAATTTCTCTTGGGTATGTACCCAGGCGTGGAATTTCTGGGTCATAAGGTAAATCTAAGTTTAACATTTTGAAGAACTTCCAAACTGTTTTCCCAAGTGATGGCACCATTTGATATCCCCACCAGCTATGTGAGGGTTTCAGTTTCTCCACAATCTTGTCAACACTTGTTATTGTCTGTCCTTTTTATTATAGCCATCCTAGACAGTGTGAGGTAGAATCTCATTGTGGTTTAATCAAAATAATGTATTTTCCTAATGACTAATGATGTTGAACATCTTTTAATGTGCTTATTGGACATTTGTATTTTTTTTTTTCAGAGAAATGTCTATTTACATCCTTTGCCCATTTTTTTTAATTTTATTTTTTATTGTTGTGCTTTAAGTGAAAGTTTACAACTCAAATTAGTCTCTTATACAAAAATTTATACATACATTGTTTTGGGACCCCACTTGCTCTCCCTATACTGTGACAGCACACTCTTCCTTTCCACCCTGGATTTCTCACGTCCATTCAACCAACTCCTGACCCTCTCTGCCTTCTCATCTCACCTCTGGACAGGAGCTGCCCATTTAGTCTCATGTATTTACTTGAGCTAAGAAGTACACTCTTCAGGAGTATCATTTTTTTTGTCCCATAGTACAGTCTAATCTTTGTCTGAAGAGTTGGCCTCAGGAATGGTTTTAGTTTTGGGCTAACAGAGAGCCCGAGGGCCACGTCTTCCAGGGTAAGTCTGATCTTTTTAGTAGAATTTGAGTTCTGCACCCTACTTTTCTCCTACTCTGTCAGGGACTCTCTGTTATATTCCCTGTCAGGGTGATCATTGGTGTTAGCTGGGCACCATCTAGTTCTTCTGGTCTCAGGCTGATGAAGTCTCTGGTTTATGTGGCCCTTTCTGTCTCTTAGGCTAATACTTTTTTGTGTCTTTGGTGTTCTTCATTCTCCTTTGCTCCAGGTGGGTTGGGACCAATTGCTGCATCTTAGATGGCCGCTCACTAGCTTTTAAGACCCCAGATGCCACTCACTTAAGTGGCTTTGCCCATTTTTTAACTGAATTATTTCTCTTTTTATTATTGCATTGTATGAGTTCTTTATGTATTTTGGATACAGGTCCCTTATCAGATATACAATTTGCATTCTCTCCTATTCTTTGGACTGTCTTTTCCCTTTCTTTATGGTATTATTTGCAGCACAAAATTTTTATAATTTTGATGAAATCCAATTTATCTATTTTTTTCCTTCGGCTGTTTGTGCTTTTGTTGTCATTTCTAAGAAGTCATCAAAAGCCTAACCTGAAGTCATGAAGATTTATTCCTATGTTTTCTTCTAAGAGTTTTATAGTTTTAGCTCTTTCATTTAGGTTTAGGAACCATTTTGAGTTAATTTTCCTGTACGGTGTGAGGTAGGGTTCCAAATTCATTTGTTTGCTTGTAGAAATCCAGCTGTCTCAGCTGCATTTGTTGAAAAGACTGTTTTTTCCACTTTGAATTTTTTTTTTCACACTTATCAAAAATCAATTGATGGTAAATGTGAGAGTGTATTTCTAGACTCTCAATTATATTCCATGATCCATATGTCTATCCGTATGTCAGTACTACACGATCTTCATTACTGTAGCTTGGTATAAAGTTTTGAAATCAGGACATGTGAGTTCTCCAACTTTGTTCTTCTTTTTCAAGATTGTTTTGGCCATTTTGGGTCCCTTGCATTTCCATGTGAATTTTAGGATCAGCTTATCAATTTCTGCAAAAAAGTAGCTGGGATTTTGATAGGGATTATGTCGATCAATTTGGGGACTATTGCTATTTTAACAATATTATGTCTTTGATTCCACGAACATAGATGTCTTCCCACTTATTTAGATCTTTAAGTATAGCAGTGTTTTGATTTTTTTTCCCTTGTTTTGTTTTGTATTTTCAGATTTCCTTGATTGAATGGGGGTG